TTCCAGCCACTCTCCCAGTAGTTAGTTGTTTTTTCACTGATTCTTCCAACTTCAAGGTCTTTATCTTTTTTTCACCTACTTTTAGAAAATGAGTGTAGCTATTCTTTGTTGGCCAATTGCTGTAATTTCTGGCTTTCTTTTTTCTTGCCCAATGGATGCACAATGTTTTTTTTTAAGCTCACCCACTTCAACTCCTAAATCTAATGGTTCATTCTCCTCTAAGCAGCTTCACATTTCCTTGTAATTCAGTCATAAGAATTTGGAGTTAAATCACGACTACAACTACTACATGATAAGTTTGAGTGTTCTCATATCCCATTTGTTGGATAATGTATGGATACTACAGGGAGAAGTTACATGTCAATCATTTCTGAGAGTCAAAAGGTTAAGCTTTCTTTTGGTCCGTCCCTTGTGGGCATGTAATGTATTCGAATTTGATGTGCGCTCACCATAAGGATATTTTGTTTCTAGATTGCTCTCTGCTTGTCTCGCCCAAGGTAATTCATCGTCACTGCAGCCATTAGGCATCCCATTGTATCCAATACCAACAATCTTCCTTTCAGGATTCACCACACAGGCTCCTACTTGGGAGTTCGGATCTTTGCTTCTTTGAGCCGAAAGAAATGCGACCGCCATGAAGTATTCATCCCAACTAAGGTAATCCGTTCGCTTGCCAGTTTTTGCTGGAGTTGCAACAGCCATGTTGTTGTGTGCTGTGTTTTCGTCGTGGTCTGTGTCACCGATTTTGGCCACTTTTCCCTTATCTGTATCTTCTTCGGATGAAATTAACTGTCGCTTCGACATCGTTACCTTTGGCAAAGGAGAGCGTGGACCCGATCGTACCGAAATCTTCCCTATTCGATATTTATAACGATTGTTTTTTTTGTTAGCTTCTTAGGTCGGTTTTTTCGTCCGTGAAGATTGCAAAATACTGAAGAGATTGCTGCGCCTTTAGGGGATTTACAGGCTTTGTGCATCAAAACAATCTATTTTTCCCGCGAAATTGTAAATATACCTGCCATATAAAAAACACTCTCATTGGGCATTAGTGATAATACCTCTTTTTTAAGCCAATCAAATTTCTTGTTTTATAGCGTTCTCGAACGCAGCATGGGACAGCGGTGTCCAGGCCTCACTTCCACGCAGGGTGTGTGGAAATAGGAAAGGCTACTCTGTCGAATTTGTATGCAGAACAATTTGCATATACATATTTTTTCCCTGTTTGGGAGCTTTATTTGGCAGAGGGAAATATGTACCTACTTCTACCACGTATTTCCTGGAATGCCATGGCTTCTCACGCAAGGAGCTCTTCTTTGATTCTTTAGCGCAAAATGTACAGGTTCAATCAACATTCGAAGGGTTCAGGAGAGATCTTTGACGTTGTTCTCTCTGGAGGTTCACCTTGGGGTTTTACATTGCAAGGGGGCAGTGAATTCAGAACGAAGCTTTGTGTCTTAAAGGTCAGTAATCTAACCAGTGCGTCCTTTCCCAGAATGTTTGGTTTGTTTAGTAACGATAGGAGTCGAGTAGGAAATTAGATCTCTGTTAATGAAATGGTGGTCGCGGGTCTCAACTGATTCTTTGTGTTTAGTGTTTTTTGTAGTCCGATTAAGGGTAGATTGTTGGGTATATTTCCATAGCCAAAATATAGGAACACCAATAGGCAAAAATAAGCTCTGATTGAAAGATAACCGGTCAATTTTAACTTGGTGTAGTGTTACCTTCCTGGTTAGAGCGAAATCCAAGCCGTTTACCGTTTGTGTTTTACTTCTATCGAATACCGGTTGTTATAGCTTCCGTAGGTTAACGCGATGCCTGCGTTTTTAACATGCTTCGCACTTAATTACGCCCTCGAATGAGTATTCTGTATTGGAGGTGTTTCTTCGTAGACGTTTGAAACCTGAAGATCGAGTGTTCCAAACGAATCTTCGAGAAGCGTTGATCGGATATGCGACAAGTGCATCGCTAAAATGTATGAATGTCTGACTTGATGCCCAGCACCAGTTGATGTGATTGACACTCCGAGCTTACTTACACTTATCGCGGGACCTCTGGTGATTGTATTTTCGTGGGATGTTGCGCTCATGACAGACTGTAGAGTTTAAATATTGTGTTACGTCGAAGTTGTGCTAAAATCTTTCGCATTCCAGTGTAACGTCGCTGAAGGACGGGGGTCAGCTTTTCGCGTTTACGTCGATGTTTTGGGGATAAGCTTGAGCGAACGAAGGTTTGTCAGTGTGTGTTACATTAAGGGATATTTGTGCTCTCGCAATTTGATGAGATAATTTGTCTCTTTCGTTCAAACTGAACTGCTTCACAGCAGCCAGAGATTGTTTGAAGAGGGAAATGGAAATATGGGTAAAAATATTTTACGATCGATGCTTCTGTTGGATGGATGTTTGCAGAAATTCAGAGGGTTCGAATCACGGATTCATAATGGCATGTTTCAAATATGAAATGTATAGACATGGTTGACTGATTCTTAAGTACAGGTTGTTCGTTCTCACAAACTAAATCTCGCCTCACAGGAAAACGAATATTAATTTACCACGTAGTCGTATTTCATTGAATTAGTAAGAATGTTCGGAATCCTTCCCTTGATTGTTGTTGTTTATCTCGGTTTTCTCCCGTCGTAGTTTATATAATTTTGTCTAGATTATTTGTTTATGTCTGAGGAACTCTCAACATACACGTCGAATTTTTACCTTTTTGAAAGCTTTTGTTTTGTTTTATAAATGCGTTTCCCTCGACTTTCCTTCGTTTATCAACTAACCGTAACCCAGAGAAATCCGAGGCGTTGTTTAAACTTTACGCAGGTTAGGAATGTGTTTTAGTATGTCTTCGAGGGTACAACTGATTCTCAACGCGTAGCTTTAATGGCATAAAAATGTGCAAATGTTTTGGCACACTTATTGTCTTTGATAAATTCCTCGATAAACGCTGATTTCATCCGTGTAGAAACTTTTTTTTTGTACATTATTATTCGATGGCATGAATTGACTGCCAGGGGCATGTTAGAAACGTTTTCTTTTGTTACAGTTTCGATTTAAGGTATAAAATACTTAAGTTTTAATTTCGAGTTCGTTATTCATACCAGGCGATAATATAAAAGGAAGTGTAGGTCAGATCAGCTAACAATGAAATTTAAAATGCGTGATGATATGAAAGTAATTTTGTTTCTTCTCAATTTCTATTGATGGCAGAAGTAGACCTTAAAATTTTTCAATTTTTATAAAATGTTATTTAATGAAATATGCAGATTCATTAACGCCGTTGTTGACATTGCCTTTAATTGTACTATGTTATGTTTATTTTGCACTTGAGTTTTGTTACTAAATCTTCTGATCATTGCATTAGATTTCCATCTAAGCCTATTGCTCGGATATTGCTCTTGTAAAGTTGTTGAAAAGAGGAACCTCCTTTTACCACATCAGACTTAAAATTACTTCAAGAGTCGAAAGGGTTTCCCTTTGAAACTTACGTAAAGCTCATTGTTTCCGGTATGACTTAGCAAAGTATTAAATTTTAATGAGGTAAATTTATGTTTCAATAAATTCTTTGCAAAGATTGTTTTCAGGTTTTTTAAACTTCTGTGTTATGTTTTTATGTGGATTAATTTTATCTGAGCAGTTAATGAAAGCCAAAGATAGAGAACTAAATTCCTACATTTTCAAAGTTTTTTCCCTCTTTTGTTTTTAGTTTTTGCCCCAAGGAGAATTAAATTTAACTTATAATGAATGTAAGTCCTTAAGAAACAGTATTACTGTTTTGGTGGGAGAGTATAACAAGGTATTTAGTTATTATCAACTGAGTTGGCCCCTGTAAAGAGTTTTGAGTGTTAGCCCTTTGTCAGAATGCTCTGATGAAGGGGTAATATTCACCTTGAAACTCTTTGTGGTGGCCAATTCATGTTATCAACTCAGTTGAGAATACCAAATTACCTAAGTTAAACTTAGTTTCAGTTCTTAATCATATGTATGGGTTTCATAACTTGATAGAAACTAATTTCAATTTGTCAAGGGTAAGCCAGTGAAAAATCAACATCTGTACCAGGCCAAAACATTGACTGTAGATAAAAATAATTTAAGAAATGTATATCTTTTTTTTCACAATATGGGAACTTCTGATTGAATACTAATGATTACACAGCATTTTTAAAATATATATACTACTTATGGCTAACAAGGTACAATATTGAGATCTTCTTCCTTTTTTTTTTTTTTTTTTGTCTTTTTTTTTGTCTCTTTTTGAACCAACACAGAATTGATATGTAATGTTACTTGCAGAATGTTAAGTACATATAGATAGTGCAGCAAGTATACTGTTTATATAGCATTGATAAACCTAGGGAACCATAACAAGAGGGGGTTCCTTAAGATAGCCTGGTAGGCATGGAAACCTAATGGTTAGCTTGCACTATTCTGGTTTTTGAGGCTTAGGCAGCTCATTTTGCTATGTTCTTTGGCAAGACACCTTTTTCTTAGTTGAGTACTTCTCTTTACCTGACAGTATTTATGAGTACTGACTAACTGTCATAGAGGTTTGTTACTGGGGAGGAGGGGACCTGCAATGGACTTGCATCCCATCCAGGGAGGGCAGAAATACCCTTTGTCACTTAATGCTATAGTGATTGTGATTAGATCTAGTGCCTTGTTAGTCACTTGCCTTGAGTGCAGACTAGTGTCTCATCTTACAGACTCAATCCTAGCCACATAGTACTACACATATGGAGTTGTGGGCCACTAGGCTGTAAAACCTTTGGGGCTGTGACCAGTGCATTTGATTCCCAGACCCTGTGTCACATGTGGGTTGAGTTTGTTGTTGGTTTTCATTCTTGCCCCAATGGTTTTTCTTGGGACTCTCCAGTTTACATCCCTCCTCAAAAACCAATCTACCAAATTCCAATTCAACCTGGAAGCAATGGAGAAGAAAAAATCCACCTTATGGATTGTTCACTGTTAAATTCCCATTACTATTATTAGTTATATTATTAGATATTATGACCTTATTCACCTTAAAATTGACATATGCCTTTCAGATAACTCCTGGTAGCAAAGCAGATCTTTCTCAGGCTATTTTAGTAGGGGATGAAATTGTGGCAATAAATGGAATTGAATGCACATCCAGAGCAGAAGCCATTGAATTAGTAAGGTGTTCAAGACAGAAGCTTAAAATAGCTTTAAGAAGGTTAGTGTCTCATCAGTATTCCAACAGAAATGTCAGAGTTGTGTATTAAATTTTCGAGTGTTGTGATTTAAAATAGAAGTTGTTGGAATTTGATATGCTGAGCTTTTAGAGAGGGGCCTATGATTTATGGAGACTTTGACCAGTAGAAACTGAGAAACACAGCTCTCACTGTTACATTGTATAGTATATCACTTCTTCAATTTGAGTGGTTCCAGCCTGGAATGGAACAAGGCAAAAAAAGAAATTGAAACTAAAAAAGTGTTGCATTTTAAGCAACTCCTGCAATTGGCAGTTATTTTTGCCATTACTTCTTTTCTTTCAAATATTCTTACAACTAATAATTTGGTGATGTACCAAAGTTTGAGAAATTCTCCAAATTCTCCAAATTTCTGGCAAATATGCTTTTATTGCAGAGTAGGGAAGATGGTAAATTTTGAACTTGGATATTGTGAAAAGATAAATGTCATTTATTTGTCAAGAGCTCAAGACGGAGAAAAACCCTAATCTCCCACAAGGCTCTGAACTGGTGACCTTTGCATTTTGTGGTTTCAGAGCTTCAGAGAACTTGTTGATCAGCAAAGGCCATGTACAGAGTTCTGTCTTACAATTTTCTGTCTCATACTTATCACGAAAGCAACACATTATATCAAGTCATAATTGTAAAATTGATATTTTCATGCTGTCCACAGGGAGGGTGCTGGACCAAGCCCTGTTGCACAGTCTAATGGTGGCAGTGTTAAGAAGAGTAGTGATGTGGTCCCAAATCTGTACAAAACGGCCAGTGATTTTTATTC